CACAGGACTCAGAGTCGAAAGTGTCACCGACCCAACAGGCTGCATGACTGAGGCAAAAACAGTGAGGGTCGTCCTGAGACATGGGGTCCGAACAACCCTCAAACTCGCACGAAGCGAGGGGAGGACCCCGGGGGTCACATCCATCGGACCCACGTGCCCCCTAGGGGATTCCCAGGGTCCTGAGCATTTACTTGAAGAGGACTCGCGCTCAGGTAAACCCAGGCAGGGTACTGCTAACCAGCGCCCAAAACTACCAAACAAACTGTCTAAAGCTGAACCCCAGGGAAGTGTATACTCACGGGGACCAAGCTGGGGGCACCACCAAGTAACAGGGTGAGGTTGAACACCAGTGGCAATGAGGGCAGAACCCCCCATCAAGGCAAAAACAAAGAAAAACAAAACCCCACAAGAGGACAAAGTACCCCAAGGAACAGAGCCGGCCGCTGTGAAAGGTGACAACTAGCAGCACAGCACCCTGCTCCCAAACCATGCGAAAACTGCCTCTTACGCTAAGGTAAACTAGGGGAGACAAAACCCCAAAGTACCCAAAGAATGGCCGAGAAACTGAGCAGTAAAACGGACACACAGAGGCAGACCCCAAGGAACTTGTGGAAGGTAACGCCAAGCTCCAAGGGCAGTACTTACAAGGCACCTAGGGAAGGGAACCCCTAGGCGCATGCAGCCCGAGTACTAAGGAATAACTCCTGGCTCTCGCACCCCTGGAGAACAGCAGCCACACTCAAAGCACAGCGCTGCAAAAAGACTGGAGCCAGAGCACATAACCGAGCTGATAGCATCAGCCTCAAGAACTGGGGTGTGGATCGCTGGCGCGGTAGGTCTTGGGCTCCCCCTTCCCCCTCCTGGGGAGGGGGGCTGCGCAGACAGCAGCGCAACAACAAATGATATCATACTAGTTTGCTCGTTTTTGTTTGGGGAGTTCTATCCACTCGTTCGGCTTTTGGTTGCAATTTTCACCAGAATAGGGGTTTGTTTTGGGACGCCTACCTTTCTGGGTGCTTAACCTGGTCGATGACAGACATAGAATGCTTCCAATTACACGGGGGTTTCTATAGGCCATTGCTCCCCTTGCCTCTCTAGAGGGGGCCAGGTTCTGGCTCGTGGTCCCCGGTAGGCCCATAAGAACTCCATACACATGACTGATGCCAAAGTCTGACTTTAGCACATCAGCCTAGTAAGCTTCGGGGAGCCTCCGGGACTCACCCCAGGGAAAAATTTAAAGATGGCATCTGTTCAATGGAGCCCTAAACAACAGGATGTAAGCCACACGCACCTGCAGGAGTTTCAAAGACTTAAGGAGGCCAAGTGCTGTCTGGGGGCATGAGTTTTGTTTTTGTTCTAATTGCTGATTTAGGTTCAGTAATTTGGGGTCATAGATAATTTTGAGTAGTAGAACCCCAGGCACAGACACCACATGTGAGATTAGGATTGATGAGAGTAATAATGTGTTACCAGGACAGTGCAAGGTACATAGCATCTGATTTTAGAAAGAATACTAACTGTTTTAGAAATGTGTTTGCTATACAGGTATTTAGTATATTAGCATTGGAAATTCAATTTGTTATCAATGAGAACACCAAGGAATTTACCATCTACTCTGTTACTAATTTGTGTATTGTTTATTCTTAGGTTAATTTTACCCTCAAACCGCTAGGGGCCCAAATGGAATTCACCCCCACAGGCACAAAGGAAAAAAAAAAAAAAAAATCTTTTGTCTGATAGAAGTGTTCATTTTTGTTCCCTGATCACAGAAAAAAATAACAAAAAAATCGTAGGTGGCATATTTTAGCTGCAATAGGGTAGGGAAGTGTGGCATAAAAGGGTCGTTGGCAGAACCTTCGCCAGACGAGGTCTACTCCGCCCGAGCTGTCAGACGGCAGTTGCCACAGATATATTATTACCTAATTATTTCAATGTCTCTGATTTTTTCTTAGTTTTTTGCAGTAATATTATTCCATACAGTGAATTGTGGCATATTTATATAATAAAATGTGTGAACCATCGCTGTACTCAAAATTATGGTGTGCATATTAGTGATTCAATTATTATGTTCATAAAACAATAAACAAATAGTTTTGCTGTTGTTACACTATATACACAGGTTATATATAAGTATCTGCATGTTTTGTTCACCATAACGAACTACTAAGTTGGTCTTGTGAGTCAAAAAGCAACGAGGAATGATCGCCAAACACCAGCGAGCCACTCACTGCCACTCCCTCCCTCAACACCACCTCACTCACCCTCATTCTCCTCCCACAATACTGTTTTTGCATTTATTCACTATACACAGACGTTATATATACATATTTACATGTTTTGTTGACCATAACTGTACATCGAAGCTTGTATGGTGAGTAAAGGCACAAAGATGTAGCTACTCACACAGTCAGCTGATCGGCGGCCGCCCTCAAGGCCAGACCCACTAATATTTCTCCTCCAACAATATTGTTTGTGGCGTTATTACGCTATATACACACATTATATATAAGTATCTACCTGTTTTATTCACCAAACCTGTACAAATAAGCTGGTATGGTGCCCAAAGACCATAGTGGCCATCAGTAAACAACATGCCTAGTCGTGCAGACGACGCTCCTCCCTCACCAAAATGGCGGCTCCCAACCTACTCCTCTCGCTGTTATCTCACACTATACACACGTTATATATAAGTATCTACATTTGTGTTCACCATAGCGAATCACTAAGCTGGTATGGTGAGTGCAGTCAATAAATGGTGGTCACACACAGTCAGAAGACGACGCCACAACCCTCCCTCCACAGCCTTACTCCTCCCTCCTTGGAGCACAGCGCTAAATATCGGCACAATCCTGCTATTATCAGAATCCTGGTCAGTTTTATCACAGTCAGGGGGCTTCAGTAATACTATCACTGCTAAATAATAGCAGTATCATATATATTATGGCATTTGTAGGTGATGCTGAGGTCACAAGCTGAACAGCGGTGCTGTGAGCTCGTGCTGCATGTGCCAGCCTTGGTGGCTTGCTCAATACTGAAGCTCTAACACCCAAGAATGTTGGCCTGGATTTTTTTTCTAGGTGACAACTGGCAACTATTGGTCGTGGCTGTACTATAGCTGCCCCTATCCCAGGCGGGGCGTGTAAATTATAGCGCTAGACACGAAATCATATATAAATGATGTGCGCGGTTTCGGTTTTGTCACTGATATCATTTATATGTGATATGCGCGGTTTGAGGGTTAATCAGTGGATTTATTACCTAACAAATTTTATAAGGTTTTATCAATGTTATGGATGAGTTTGTTAGCAGTTAACCAAATATAGATTTTTTTAGCAAAGTGTTCACTGTGTCATTCAGAATATGAGGGTTAGGACTCCAGTAAACAGATGCTATCTTGAAAACAATTGTATCCCTCCTGGCAGTGAAAGTCTCAGTATTGCCAGAGCAACCAAGGTTGGTGCATGTAGCAGGAGCTCACAGCACAGTTGTGCAGCTCTGCAGTACCACTTAATAATGATGAATAAAATAAGCAGTTGCAATTATTTTGTTTTGATAGTGTCATAGATAATCCTAACTAATATAAACTAAGTGCAAGGTTCTGGTATCAGTATACAGAATGTTAGTTCCGATGTTCCAGCAGAAGGCAGACATTCACAGCACACAATTGAGGATTTGTGAATCTACACATTATGCAACATGATGTCATGTTCCTTTAGAAAATGTTCCTGTGGGAAAAATTTTCATATTCATGATTTAATGACAAGAATCTGATAATAGCATTGTTTGTAGTAATAATAGTGATGTGAATAGTACATTTCTGGGAAATGATCACGCCATTCAATCAAATTTGTTTCATCAGGCCACCTCGTCTGCTGTAGTCAGATGGTCATAGCATGTAGTTCTATATTGTACTATGCTAAGATTTTATTACCACACAACAATTACTTAGTGGTTTGTCATGGTTTATAAAATTATAATTATATATATGTATTTATGGTCTATATTTACATTAAACAGCAAAAACAGTTTTATTGTACAAAGAATATATATGTCACTATATATGAGCACCATATTTTCAGCAAATTGATGTTCCACACATTTAACTATATAAACGAAACAAACATGCTATATAAACTATATAAACATGCCTGAAACGCTTTGCGTAATAGTGGCTTTAGGCATTGTATGTACTAGCCCTAACTATAAATCCATCACTCTTTGTAAAATCTCTTTTATGTATGTACCTTACCTAAATAAACATTTTGATTTTTTTTTTTTTTATAAATTCTTCATATTATACATTATAAAATAATATTTCTGCAAAACTATTTAAAAATCCATACAAAGGAACTGAAATAATTTTGTACAAATATCTTTGCAACCACACTGTTGGCCTGATGCACACTGTTGCTGGCATAAACTAACGCCTGAATATTGCCAGACTCCTTTGCTCCATCATGGCCAAACTATGTCAAAAACTATTTTTTTCCCTGTGATCACAGGGAAAGCATTTTAATAATTTTAGAATAAACAAAAAAAAAATGGGGGAAACAATTTTTTCAGCGCACCAGCAACATGTCATATTAAATTATGGACTGTGCAGTGGTTAACATGATGGGCATTAATTGTTGAAATAAGGGGACAATATGGTAAGGCTAACAAAGCTAAGGCTTGGAAGAATAAAGTGAAATATACTATCCAAGAAAGGGTAAGGAAAGGTGTTAGAATACTTCAAATAATGACAGGTGTAAATGGCCTCATGAAGAAATATCCTCTTTGATCACCACCTTATATTGAGCTATCTGGAGTAAGACATCAGGGTTATAGATAAAGAATGATCTTTATCCACCTCAACTCTTCCTCTGCTGTTTCCAACCCAATTATGAGCATTCATTTTTGTAAATGTCCAGTATACCAAGTTAAATTTATGACTTATTATACTGGATTATAATAATAATATATGGCAATTAATAATATATGATGATGCAATACTGACTTACCTAAAATTGCCATCACAACATCATCTTTGAGGATTTCAAGGGAACCTCTAGAGATGAAGTACATGGAGGTTAGGACATCACCTCTGTGCACCAGTGTGTCCCCGGGCGGAGCATGTGTTGTTTTGAACTTCATACTAAGTGCTCTGTCAATGGCAAGAATAACTATTAACCTGAGTTTCTAGCAGTATCCATGTCCAAGAAATGTGGGTATCTAGTTCACACTTAATCATAAGAAGTTTATGACAAAAGGGTGTGTTCATATAAAACATAATTGCTCCTTAAATGTTAAAATGCAGATTAATCTCGCACATTCAACGACATAGACACAAAAATAAAATAAATTTAAGTCCTCTACTCACAAGGCTATGAAGAGAAACTGTGAATACGAAGCTGCAGACAGATAAATTCAACGTAATGTAATCTTGTATTACATTAAGTGTCCTTCATTATAGAACTGAACATAAGCAACCACACACTCAAAAAAATCTATGATGAATGTAATGAAACACCAATTTCTGGATAAATCCTGGTAGCTTCCTGAAGCTACAATGCTGATATAGTGCCAAACTATTAGGTGCTATCAGTCATGCAGTTCTTTTAGGCCTACCAAGCACCACAAACCAGGACTTGGTCCTATCTAAAGAGATGCAGGAAACAGTGGAACAATGATAAAATTGTCAGTGAATTTTAATCATATCTGCCATCACCAAGGAAGCACTCACAAAGTCAGTGAAACAAAACAGACCACTACCAGTTGTAAGAAATATTGATGTCTCAAAATCATCTAAAGAACTACCCAAACAATGTAAACAATTGATCGAAAATTCATGAAATTCAATAGGAAAAGTATTATTCAATCGAAAATTATGAATTCAATAGGTTCTTCTCATCCATTGGGACATCCCTTGCAAATGATATTCCATCCTCCTGTACTAATGTCAAGAACTTCCTTACAGGTAACTATTCACAGTCTCTGTACCTAATGCCTGCTAACTCCACTGATGTTAATGAGATAATTCTTTCCCTTAACCTTCAAACAGCTAGGGGCCCAAATGGATTTAACACCCAAAGGCGCAACAACAAAAATTCCAAAAAATTCTTTCGTCTTATAGTAGTGTTCATTTTCGTTCCTGGATCACGGAAAAAAAAAAAAAAACGTAGGCGGCATATTTTAGCCACAATAGGGTAGGGAAGACTGGCAAAAAAACAGCGTTGAATGTAATGAAACGGCATTTTCTGGGTGAGCCCCGGAGGCTCCCTGGAGCTTATCGGGCTAATGTATGTTATGTAAGACCAGGACATTAGCTATGGAGTTCAGACATACCAGGGACCAGTGCCAGAACCTGGCCCCTTCAGAGAGGTTTCAGGGAGCAATGGCCCTGGAAAACCCCATTATGGTTGGGGGTTTTCCTTATCTGCCATCGACCGAGGTCAGGCACCCAGAAAAACGAACAGAGAGGTAGAAACTCCCTACAATCCCAAGGAAACAAACAATCAATTTACTGGAGGGGGAGGGGGGGCCCCCGGACCTCACCACGCCAGCTGCCTTCAGTTCGGAAACTAGGCTTCAACCAACGCGAAAAAACCCCTCCGACTGGATGGGAGGGAGGGTAGCCAGGGAGCCTCCGGGGCTCACCCAGAAAATGGCGTTTCATTACATTCAACGCTGGCTTTCTGTGGGGTGCCCCAACAGCTCCCTGAAGCTACATACCCAAAGAGAAGGAGTTAGGGACTTACCCGGGAGGCGGCAGCCACAAACTCCTCAACGCGAAGTCGAGACAACTGGCTGCAACCTGCGACCCAAAGCAACACAAGAACGCCAAGGAGCAGGGATGTTCACCAAATAACAGGCGGCCAGGACCCTGTTCGACTTCCAAAAACCACGCACCTGAATATGAGCCCAAGACATGTTACCAAACACAGCAGCCAAAGCTGCAAACTTCCGAACGTCATGGGCACGAGGATAGACCGCAGGCTGGCTAGACTTAATAACCCTGCGGACAACCTGGGAGACCCCGAGCCCTGGAACAGGGAACGAGGGAAACCGGATCAACCCAAAGCGCATCCCCAGCCACCCCAGCTGAAGCGCGCAGGTGACGGAGAAGTGTTGCAACCGGACACAACACATGATGCACCCCTGGCCGAACCAACCAAGCATCAATGACCCACAGACCCCTCCGGAAAGCAGCCGTCTCGTTCTTCGCCAGAAAAGATGGAGAAGGCTGCAAACGGAAAACCTACCTCCCAGGACCAAAAGAGCAGAAACCCCTGCACTGGAGGAGAGCATGAAGCTCCCCTACCCGGCCCCCAGAGCCAATGCCAATAAAAACAAAGCCTTGGAAAAACAATCCGGAATCGAAGGGGCCACCACAAACCAAGGAGAGGAAAGAAAGGTGAGCACCCTCCAAGGACCAGGATGGCTCAGGAGGCGCATGAGCAGGCCGGAGGTGAAACATAGCATGGGAACGCTTACGAAACAGGGCAGATGTGACGTCCACCCCGAACGCTAGCTTGAGCGGCTCAGCCAGTGCTGCACGATACGAGGCGACAGTATTTGGCATCAAATGACAGTCCTCAAAAAGCCAAGAAAGGAAGGACAGGACAACCCAATCTGAAAGAAAAGACAATCTACGAAGAGACAGAAAATGGCAAAAAGAACACCAGGAAACTTCATACTGTCGCCGAGACGAAGCTCTCAGGTGGGGCACCATCAAGGAAGCCACCTGATCACCATAAAATTGGTGATACACCAGCGTCAAAAAGACCAGACGCGAAGAGCAGAGAAGTTCGAACCAGCCGTGTACGGGACCGGGCCGACCTGCTGATAGAGGCGGAGCCGCGGGAAACATCCCGGGTTCGGGCACCGAGCCAGTAAGCACTGCAAACCAAGGCTGGGCCGGCCAACAAGGGGCCACAAGAACTACTCTCCGTGGGAATGTCTCAAACCGAACCAGAACCCAAAGCAACAGCTGGACCTGGGGGGAGAGGTACAGGTAACCCCACCTCGACCAGTCCTGCCGAAAGGCATCCACCGCGATCGCCTCGCAGTCAGGGAAGGCGTCACATACATTGGGAGACGCCGAGACCACACCGACGCGAAGAGGTCCACATTTGGGAGACCGTACGTCTGGCAGATCCAACGAAACGAGTCGTCGTCGACGACCGTCCACTCCGTGGACAGGGGATGGAAGCGTGAAAGAATGTCCGCCAGAACGCTGGACACTCCCCGGACATGAACCGCACGGACAGCCAAACACCGAGAATCCAGCAAACGAACCACTCGAAGAGACCAACCCCAAAGAGCCAAGGACCAAAGAGAACCCCCGCGGTTCAGGCAATGAACCACTGGAGAACAGTCCAAATGGAGGCGAATGGTCGATCCCCGAGCGATCCGAACCCTCCGAAGTGCGAACCAGACTGCCGCAAACTCCCAAACCATGCTGTGAGCCCGACGGAAGGACGGACCCCACTGTCCCTGGCCTGCCTGGTGATCACTGGTCACACAGCCCCAGCCAAGAGACGACGCATCCGTGAACACATCGAGCGAGGGCTCGGGAAGGCGCCAAGGCACCGAACCCCGAAAACCCCGAAGAGGAAGCCGGTGACGCAGCAACCGACACAAGGCCCTTGGAGGACGAACCCAATGATCGCGAGAGAGGCGGAAAGGATGTCTCCGAAGGAACCAAAACAGACGCTGAAGCCAAACCCGACCAGGCAGGTATACTAGCACGGCGAAGTTCAGACTCCTGCACAACTACTCGAGTAACCACTGAGTGACCCGGGACCCACTCAGAAACAGCCAACGGCGGTCCCACAGCCCCAACAATGCCTCTGGAGGAAGAGACAAGGAAGCAGTCCGAGAATCCCAAACAAGACCCAGCCAGGTCCGAATCTGGGATGGAACCAGATGGGACTTCCTCCAGTTCCTTCCTCCAGCGATATGGTTCCTGGAAAGAACCATATCGCTGGTGAGCAGACAAGCCGACTGACTGGGAGCCCACACAGCCAGTCGTCGAGATAGGCCAAAACCCGAATCCCAAGAAGATGCAGACGGGTCACCACAACCCGGGTCAGCAGCGTGTAAACGCGAGGTGCCAGATTCAAGCCAAAAGGTAGGCATCGAAAATGGTAAGCGTGATGCCCCACCATGAAACCTAACCAGTCCCTGAACTGCGGGAGAATAGGAACGTGCCAATAGGCGCCCTTGAGGTCCAGGGACACCATCCAGGCACCCAGCTGCAACAGAAGCCGGACCTAAGAAAGTAGTCATCCGAAAGTAGGGGCAAGGAATCCAGGGGTTCAGACGGGACAAGTCCCAAATGAACCTCAGATCCGCACAGTCCCGTTTCGGTACTGGAAACAGACGGGAAACTCACCTAAAAGACGTAGTCGTTTCGACCACGCCCAAGCGCACCCCACTCCAAGACGACTTGAAAAGCGCAGGAGTGGCCTGTTAGCCCCCAACCCCCCCAAGGGAGGACGAGTCGCCCAACACCACCGCAGGCCATATGACACGACCGAAAAGGCCCACAAATCGTGGGACCAAGCATGAGCAAACAGAGTGAGCCTCTCTCCCCCATCGCCTTGTCAACTGGGCGAACCATGGGAAAACGGCCGACGCCCTTTACGAGAACCCAAACTTCGAACAGGGCGATCACCGCGCTGACCAGATGACACTGGCCCCGAAGGGAACAATGGCTCAGAAACTGGCACCAATGGCCCACCTCGAGCAGCGGTACCCGGAACCCTGGCACGACCCCTCCGAAACTGCCGAGAACGACCACTTCGGAGAATCACCAAGTCCGCCATAGGACGACAACTGGACGAAGCCGAGTGCAGAAACTAAGAGACCGCAGCCTCTGCAAACAGCAACGGACAAAATGGAGATGAAAACCTAAGAGCCAGGGCCCAAGCAGATTCCAGAGGGCGAGCACAGCCTGACGGCATGCGAGGCGAGAAGCAAAAAACAGAGACACCGCTTCCTTCAGGATGGGCGCAAAGAGCTTCAACAGTGCAGCCGATGCCCCAGTTGCCAAAGTCAGCGCCCCAGATGAAGGCCCTACACTCAACGCTCCCACATCCTCCTCAAGCCAAGCTGAAGACATCTCAAGAAGGGAAAGAAACGCAAGACCAAAGCCAAATG